TAAATGCCCCCACCCTGTATATTGGGTGGAGAAATTTTCGATATGGTTTCTGGATCAATGTAATATTATCCAACAATTGCGGTCTGCACACATAATTGTCTGTTTCTTCCACACCGCAAGTGTCGATAATGTAAATTAATCAATTAATTCAATTGTGATATTAATCATGTTGGCTAAACAACAAATTAGCATAAAAATTAACGATGTATTTATGGTAACTAGAGTTTTATCGTAGCACCATAACAACACGATTAGAATTACTAAACATGCGTTCAATTGCGCCACTACGCATAATTCGTATTTTTTCCGGGACTATATAAATTGTAATTGGCTTTTATTGCATGTAGATCTTCGAATCTACATAAACACCGTGACGGTATATCATTCATCTGATTTTCATCGCGTTACGTGAGCCTTTTGCGACATATTAACTGTGGATACAGAGAAATATTCATTAGCTGTTTTGCAACAAATTGTACCGAGGTCTTCTGAGGACTGACCGATACATAATACGTACAGAGAGAGCCACGTTGATGATTAAACAACATATTGGAAAGGAACTCAAAGTGATCCAAAAATTTATGTACCGGCTGTTCCCGATATATTCTCTTGATTGAAAATATTACCGACGCGACGTCCCGTTAAAAGTACTTTTGAATACTGGTGAACTAAAAGTGAATGTTACCCCCTAAAATTATGGGTAGACTTTCTTGTCCATTTATATTATTTTATCTGCTCTTACTATAGTAAATAAACTATTAATACATTGTTTTTAAGGAGGTAAGTGGATTTTACCGTAGAAGTGGAAGTTGCTATGGACGGGAGGTAAGTGAGGTTACTTACGTTGCCGATGTTCTTCGGAATGAATGGCCTGTATATGTTTCAGGATGTTCTAGTTTCAAAAACTTCTTATCTTATTAGGAATCATGGAAAGGGTATTCTTGCCGACCGGTTGGTTATAACAGCGACATCTATCTGCTTGATGGCGCATAAAAATGCATGAAATTTCAGTTTTAATTTCCAATCTAATCCTGATATATTTCTTGAGAATTTCTAGGTAAGAAACAGAACCCAGACGAGAAGTAATTGTAAACGTACCTGACATACCATTTTTAGAATCTGGAATTGTAACTACAATAATGTCATCGATATTTTTGACTCCAGAAACTCGCCGCTGACTTTAAAGTTCTTGACTTCTCCATGAAATATGCTAGCAGTGACATTTCAGAAACACCAGTATTTTTGTTCTGGTACCATTCTTTGAAATTTCTATATGTTCGTCCGTAGCGAACTTTCAATTTCTCGGGCAATAAAAATTCGCAGTCAGAATTTGTTGCACTCTGTTTAAAAATCACTCATTTAGAAATAATAATTCAAAAGTAGGAAAATTGCAACTTCTATGTAGCTTTTTTGTTTATAAACACCTTAGAAACGACAAAATCTAAACTACCAAGGCGACTTTGCAAGATTTCGATTTTCGAATAATGTCAAAATGAATTGATTAAGAAATATCAAAAATAAAGCCTATTTATTTAATGAACCCTAAATAGAACTGTGGGAGCAGATAAAATGTTATACACCACGCAGCAGTTAAGTATAATTTACCAGTCTCGGACTCTATTGCCAGCCCTCGCTCCGCTCGGGCGCAAAATCGTCCTCCTACTTTATGGTGTAAATAACTATTAACTTTCAATGAAATAGCCTGTATTTTTCGAATTTTTATTTTAAGCCTAAATTATTTCGTACATGTACAGTCTTATACAGGAAATTTCTTCCCCACTCAACGCTCAAAGTGCATTTTACAAAAGTACGTACTTCTCTTGCTATTATTTTATCGTTTATTTATACGTTGATTCCTATTCCGTCCGGGTACGGACTCGAAAACGCACCGCACTCGCGGAAGTACCTTGTAAGGACGTCCACGTTTGCTAATGAATAATTTAAAGAAAAATTCCTAGAAAAGTAATTCGAAACCGGCTACCGACAATAGACGTACAAATATTGACTCGGTAATATTCTCCGGTGATCACGTACGCCTTTGACTCCGAGCAAACGGGCTGCCGCATGCCGCCCAAAATGTTAAGCCGCTTACAGTCCACAATGGCTTTTCAGCGTCGTAATCGTTTCTCTAGACGGCTTTTTATCGCTCGGCACGGAAAAAACGGAAGCAGAGGATTTGGGTTTGGTGAGTTTGACGAATCGTCCCGGTGTCCGAGTGTCAAAATCGCTCCTACACGCTTTGGAAAACGCTCGTTAGATGTTTAGAGTGAGGTGCAAGCTGCAGTCTAGTCATTTAAGCCCGATGCAACCAAGTCATTCATTAGACTGTTTTGAGCAAAGATTTGGGAGAGGAAAGATAGGGAGCGGATGCACAGTCATCGATTTTGTGCCAATATTAAAGATATTCGTTTTTTTGTTGCTATCTTCGTATTGAAAAATGTATGTCACAATGGAATTTTCAGAACCAATTTTTTGTTAAAATACTGTCAGTTTGTTAGGAATATATCGTTAATATGAGCGTTTGAAATGGCTTTTCTATCAAATTTAAGTATTTATTTTCCAGAAAACAAAAAAAAAAAATTAGTTCCATTGTCATTGCCGTCGGAATCGCTCTAAATACAAGCCGGTATTGAGATTAGAGGTGTGTATTGGTGCTTGCTTTCCATCCTTAGCTATTAGTTATTAATCTTTAATTATCGATCAGATAAGGCGTTATTTATTGCCAAGATATTTATCAAAGTGTAATTAAGCTGTAATGGGGTGTTGTGTAAATCGTGGGATTATAATTAACAGATATTAATTGTGGATATGTAGGTGAATATTAAATTAAAACGGACTGGAACAATTCAGCGACTGTTCTTAGTTAATCAATAGATTCGTTTCTCAGATACAGGGTGTTAAAATGCAATATTTACCGTCGGTTTGTTCTAGGATCCAAAATAGGGAAGAAAATTAAGGTCAGGTCGTAATAATAATTACTAGTACTATATAAAATTTAAAAAATAAAATCAAATTAGCTTTAGTGCGTTTGTGTTTGGATTAAGTAGAAGAAATTGTTTTTTAATTTAGGTTGAAAACTTAAACTATATAAATCAAGTCAATTAATTGGTGCATTAATGTTAGTTTTGTTATACACTAGGCACACAAATTAAGGGATATTAAAAAAATCACAAAATTTTGGGTGATTTTCAAAGAGGTGTAACTTGGAGGAAAATGGTCGCAGAGCTAATAAAAAAATAAAGGAAATTGAAGCTTCAAGTGTCTAGTTTTCGGATTTGGAGTTTAAAATTTTTTAGCGTCAGCAGTTTTTGAGTAAATGTAAGAAAATCAACGAAAATGAAATTAGAAATTTTTGCTGTTCTTTAAAAAGGCCTATGGACTTCAAAATTTTTTTTGGTAATTTCACCTTAAAGCTCTTTTAGATAATTAATTATCTTCAATTTGTGCCGTTCTGGAGTCCTGTACGATGATTTCTCGCTAAGTTATGGCCGATCAAAGCAAAAAAATCGTTTTTGACTTTGGCAATCAATTACTCGGGAAATAATGGTTGTACAGAAAATCCAAGCAAGGTTTTGAAAACTGCAAAGTATTGCCTACAAGTCGTAATTATTGGTTTTTGAGAAAAAAAAATTTTTCGAAGTGAAAATGTTGGTTAGAAAAGAGGTAAAGAATTGCATAATTAGGGATATTTGAATAACTTGGCATAACTTTACAAATAATGAATAAACAAAGGATATTGACTAACTTTTCAACCTCAAAGTGTCCTAAAGAAACCCTGATAATTTCAAAACGCTGCAATTTTTTTTCCTCCTAGTGCCCGGAATGATTAAATTTGTATTTTATGCTGAAAATCAATGTTATAAGTAATTTTTCACTGTTTATAAATTTTTTTAAGTTAAAATGTTTTTTTTAGCAATAATCCATATTTTCTTCATAAAAAAGATTAATTGTTCTAATAAAAACGAAAAAAAAAATTTTCAAAAATTTTTTTTCTAAATCTTTTTTAACGCGTCCATAATCCTTTTTAAAGAAAAGCAAAAATTTGCAATTTTTTTTGATTTTCTTATTTTTACTGAAAAACTGTTGATGCTAAAAAAAATTTGACACTTGAAGCTTCAGTTTTTTTTTATTCCCTCTACGACTATTTCTCTCCATGTTATAGCTTTTTGAAAATCATCAAAATTTTGGGATTTTTTTAATATCCCTTAATTTCTGTGTCTAGTGTATTATGAACAGATATGAAAAAGTGTAATTATTTCAAAAATTATACTCGTACTTAAAATCTACGAGAGGTTTTTCTATGGACAAAATAGAATTATTTCCAAAAAAATTTTAGGATGATTAAGAGAAACTTAATTTATTATTTTATATTTATAAAAATAACACTACCACTCCCACATCTACTTCATTGATTGTTTCATATTTTCGACAGTACCACTTAATTTTGTTTATTGGCAACTTGTACAACACTTGCAAGTTTCAAGTTTTTATTTCAAATCGTTTTAGAATTATATAAGAATTTCAAATTTTATTTTAGAACTTTTCATATAAAATTTTTTCAATATTAATTCTTATTATATTACTCTAGTGTGTTATGCGAATAGAGCTTCTTATCCTTCCGTTCTTCCCTTTTTCATTCAAATCATAAATTGAATCGCAAAAACGCGATCTTACGAAATTTTGCTAAATCTGGCATCAATGGTTCGCTTCCTATATTTCCACTTCTACCTCATCTTTAACTTAGACGACAGTAGAGGTTAACTTCAACCTTAAGGAAAGTGGATCTATAAAAAACTGTGGCTCGAAAAATCAAATAAATTTAAGCTCCTTACAAATATGCCTAAAATATTAATTAAAAAAAAACATCAAAGCTAGCAACCTTAAACATATCTTGTATACTGCATATAAAAATATTTTTCTTTCTTGTCCTTAATACTAAACAATTGCCAATATGTATTTCCTACCACTCCTACCAGTAATTTATACGTTTTTTTTTTTTTTTTCAGGTAAAAGGAAGCAACTTTTGAGGATGTCAGTTGATGAAGCTCCAGTGAACGCGTACAAGTAAGCATTCCGTTTTTTTAACGCCTCAAAGATGATAGCAACACAAGCTAGGTATTTCGATGTTTGCCCACGAATACGCCCTCGAAATTTCCTTATTATTCGAGGACTAATGTCAATGGACTCCACCCAGTAGAGACTGCTGTGTTTGCCATTGCAAATAGCTCGGTAGTGAGCGTATAGTCTCTATTATTTAAACAAATGAGCCTGCGGAAAGCTAATCGCCAAAAAATCAACACAAATTATGAAGGATAACAAGTAAAATGGTTTCTGATAAAAAAAGATTAAGATGAAATGTGTTTTGAGTTCAGTTTTCAAAATGTAGGGACACATTACCAAAAATATCGTTTTAATTAGTAAATTACAACACCTTGCATCTTTTTTATTAAGCCAATAAACGTTTCGGGACTTATTTTTTGCTTAGAGTCGAATTCTTTGTCACTTAATTCGGTTTGACATCCTGTACTCGCGTATATCGACCACAGAAATTCCGTTTGCATTTCGTGTATTGGTAACCGTGTCACATTCTTCACTTGAACTTGAAATTTCGATCAAGATAACGAACGCTAACTAGAAATTTTCATGACGAAACTCTTTATTTCTTTTAATTGATCTGGCGTCTATTTTTACACCAGCCGAAGGCTATAACGTTCAAATAAAACGAATCGCGTATATTCTGGGATCCGCGAAAATCCTCCTTTTTTACGACATTCCTATTTTGAATTAGCCCGTTGAAAATAATACGGAATTTAACATGACTGTTTGTTTATTCAACCCAGCGAATTCGCCCAGCCAGACCAATCTAATAATTGGCGGTTAAATTTATCAATGTTGGACATCCTGAGGTGGTTAGAATCTGTGCCCTCTGATGTTTTAAGTGGATAATTCTTTCCTTGCATACGATTAGTACGAGGGACGGCCGAATTTGTCTTTGCTTTTACATTTCAATGAAATATCTGCCGTTTTGTTTTTCAAATATGCGATTTTGTGATAATCAAAATGAGCCCAACACCATAAGAGAATAGCTACATACTTTTCCTGGCACATGAGCAAATCTTACGGCGAAATTATTAATAACTTGTTGTTTTAAATATCACGACAATGTCTGTTAATGTACCTTGCAGATTACAAACGTGGGTTGCTAGATAAAAATAATGAGGAGAAATTAGTGCCATTTTTTTGTCCAAGAAATGTCGATGGAAAAAATCGATTTTATCTAACCGTTATTTTTTTAATGCTGTATTATATAAACCCGCAGAGAAACTGTTACATTGTTATGTAAATAAAATGCTACATTATTGTATAATAAGGCCATGTTCCACTATTTAATAGCAAATATTCAGCGTCTAATTATTATTTGCCGTGAAAACTTTTGCAGTTACGTACAGTATCAAAATTAATTCATTTCTAAAAACAATATTTGAATAACAGATAAAGTTTTCGGCGGTTTAATCCGTTGTCAGAGTGTTGAAATAATTTGCTAACGATAAAAATCTAGACGGCGCAGAACCTCGCTAATGAAACATTTCGAAATTAAAATCCTAAAACAATGACTTAAGCCGACCACTTTTTTTTCTGCGGCAAATCTACATAGGCGGCACTAATTTTAATCCGATGTTTTCTAGAAACTGTCAGTAAGTCTGTAGCAGCCTTTTTTGCGAGACCATTCATCCAGAAGAGTCTTCACGGAAACCATATGTTTAGGGTGTTCCGAATTGCACAAAGCAAATTAAAAAACACCTCAAATTAAAAAAAAATCACATAAACGTAAGTCGTGGAACGCTTCAGTTTCGAAATACAGAGTGTTGAGATTAAAATCCATTCCATTTTATTCGAAAAACTCTATAAACTAATCGTTTTACAAAATAATTTAAAATGTTAAAATATGTAATGAATGATATAAATTATTTTTTAAAAGTATGCAATTAACATATTAAATTGCCGTTGTTGCAATATAATAATATTCTCCAGATCTTGCTTTGGGATGTCCCCAACCGCCTTGAAATGGTTCTTGTCCAAATAGTAAGTTGCTCCTCAACTAAATTTAAAACAGCTTTTATTTCAAGTCATTATCAAAGACCGGGTATCGCGAAGACGTTGGAAATTTCGCGGTCTCGGAAGATGTTGTCTGTGGAATATTCTGCTGCAGCGGCATTCGGATTTGGTGAACATTCTCCATATTAAAATCGCCATTTCCGCATATTCAAAATTCGCAAATTTAGCTATTACGACCGACACGCGAAATGGTAAAGGGGTTTATAATAAACGGAAAAAAAATGCGTGAGCTGGAGTGGGGGAAGGTTAATTTGGGGGGTTGAAAAGTTGTGAAAAATTGTATCATTGGGATTTCTGGCGAAAGTTGATGTCAAACAAAAAAGTATTCAATACAGAAATTGTAGATCATGCAAAAATATATAACTTTTGTAGAGGTTTAAGATAACCTCAAAATGCGAAACAGGTTTTTTTCTAACTTTTCGTTTTTTATTTCTCATTTCCGCAAAAATAATTTAATTTTGACGAAACTTGGTGAAAGTATACCTTTCTGTCTTAAATAACCGCAATTTTTTTTAATAAAAAAATCAAGAAGTTTCCGAGATGTTCATTTTTACCGGTCTGAAACACTTTCTTTTCAACGAAAAATTCTACTTAGGAAAATTATCGTACAGAGTTCTGTCGGTGATCATTTTTTTCGTTTTGACATAAACTTTTTGGTGAAATCAAAAAATCTGTAATCAAAATTCAAAAACATGCTCAAAAATGCAAAAAAATGACTTGCAGCAATGAATTTTTCATTAATTGTTGATAATTTGTTTAAATTTAAAAAAAAATCGAAAAATGATTACACCATTCAATTGTACGGAAAAAATACAAAAAAAACTGTCTCATTGTTTGACCCAAAACTTTATTTTTATACAGTAGGTATTGCTATAAATATAAGTCGAATAATAATTTTTTTCCGTGGGATCGATTAGTGTACTTATTTTTTTAAAATTTGATTTCATAGATATACAGTGTGTCCAAGATAAGGATGGGATAGCATTAGGATCTAGGAAACGGTAAGAGCTACGGGGTGGCTCAAATTAGAAACAAGTTGTGTTTTTTTATACCTAACAATATGCCATTTAGAAAGTTTTAAAATTTCAGGTAGTTCTGGAGATATCCGGAAAAACCCGAGATTTTTCAAAATTGTCTAATTTTTTCTGGCTTTATTTGAAAACGAATTTTAAAATAAATTGCATCTTTACAATGCCACTTTTTTCGCTCTATACAATGGCGTCAACATTTTTGCAATCTGATGTTTCACTTCGATAGCCATCATCAGGTTAATATTTTTTTAATATGTCGCTGCTTTTTTTATGAAAAAATCTATAGTCCTTAATTTTTAATTCTGAAGTAGATGGTATAGCTATTGTAATCGCTTAAAAGATTTTAGCTTGTTTTAGCTATCATTTAAAATTTTTTCTGAATACGGCTCTGATCGCTTTCAAAATATCTATTGGATGAAGTCATAACAGTATAAAAGTCAATTCCGCACTAAATATCCCACAATTTTTTTACTACTATTAGCAATACCAATTAGAAATAATAAAATATTACATAAATTCGTATTATTTTTTATTAGGTACAACTTTTTAAATTATTGATTAAAAAAAATTGTTGGATATTTTGTGCTTTATTGACTTTTATACCGTTACGACTTCCTCCAGTAGATATTTTGAAAACGTTCAGAGCCGTAAACAGGAAAAATTTTAAATGATAGCTGAAAACCTTTTTACAATAGTAATATCATCTAATTCAGAATTAAAAATTAGCCTGATGATGGCCCCTCCAAGACGAAACGTCGCATTGCAAAAATGTTGACGTCATTGGATAGAACGAAAAAAGTGGCAATGTAAATATGCACTTTATTTTAAAATTCGTTTTCAAATAAAACCAGAAAAAAATAAAATTATTTTGCCAAATTTCGGGTTTTCGGGTTTCGCGTCAACAGATTTTGCAGTTAATATTTGGTATTGCTGAAATCTCAAACCATCCAGAGATAATTTATCATTTGTGCATTTGTAAAAAAAATTAAGTTTTCAGTCAAACAATGAGACAGTCTTTTTTGTATTTTTTTCCGTAGAATGAATGGTGTAGTCAGTTTTTGAATTTTTTCAAAACGGAAAAAATTATCACCGACAGAACTGTACGATGATTTTCCCAAGTAGAAATTTTCTTTGAAAAAAAGTGTTTCAGATCGGAAAAAATTAATATCTCGGAAACTTCTTAATTTTTTTATCTAAAAAAATTTGCAGTTGTTTAAGACACAGAAAGGTATACTTTCACCAAGTTTCGTCAAAATTAAGTTATTTCTGCGGAAATGAGAAATAAGAAACGAAAAATCAGAAAAAAACTGTTTTTCGAATTTTTCTCGTAAATTTTGAGGTTATCGTAAAAAGTGACTTCTACAAGAGTTGTAGATTTTTGCATGATCTACAACTTTAGTATTTGATACTTTTTTGTTTGACGTCAACTTTCGCCAGAAATCCCAATGACACAATTTTTCACAACTTTTCAATCCCCCAAATCAACCCTCCTCCACCCCTGCTCCAACATTTATTTTTTTAGGTTTATTATAAGCCCTTTTACCATTTCCACTTATAAAAATCCAGGTAACAATTTTTTTTTCTCCAAGTGTAATTTGGTTGAACTAGTAGTACTTTAACACCCCATTAATGGTTTCAGCAAAAAGAAAATACTTCTCCATGTAACATAACCTCAAATATGTCAAAAAATCGCGATTTTGTCACTTTTAGGTTAGGATATCTCGAGAACCAGAGCCAACTGAGAAATTTGATCCTCGAATTCGAATTCAGCGCACCAAAATCCTTTGGGAACGTATATTCGTGTTGTTGGGTTAAAATCTTGTCAGCCTGTGTAATTCAACAAGAATTTTTTCTAAAATTGTGTACAAGTTTGTTATTTTTAATTAATTAAATACGCATTAAAATTTTGTCGTTTAT